AGACACAGGAGAAATGAAACAGACACACAGCCACATTATGCCACCCTCAGAGCCCTGGTTTTGCTTTGGATGTACTGTGAGTATGCAAGATGAAACCGATGCAGGAAATTGAGTGAAGGAGGTACCAGACCTCCCTGATAATTGCTTCACAATAAAATGGATTTTCTTTTTTTAATGAAAAAAAAGGTGCACGGCCAACAAATAGTAGAGCTGGGATTACAGGCCTCATCCTTCCGCTCCAAAAATTCAAGGGCTCCAACCAGGTCAAATTACTCGGTTTGATTCTGCCAGGACATTTCACATCTCTACGCCTTTCTACATGCACACCTCTACCTCAGCTGCCCTTCCCTCACCTAAGTTTTCATTTCCTGTAAGACCCAATTTACATACCTGCTCTTTCAGGCAGCTTCCCTAACTTCCCATCCAAAGATTACTGCTCTTCCTCTACACTTCGGTGCACGCCCTTATTGTAGCTATTAGTTTGTTTCTGTCTCCTGCCATGTGCAAGCCACAGAATTAGAGAAAATATTTGCAAAGCATTTTCAATAAAGGAATGTCTGCAGAGTATATAAGGAATTCTTCCAACTCAAGAAGACAATTGTTTTTAATGAACCAAAGATCTGAACGGACATTTCACCAAAGGATAGGCAGATGGCAAATAAGTACATGAAAAGAGGCTTGTTTGCATTAGTATTTTAGAAAATGCAAATAAAACCATGATGAGACATCACAACATATCTATTAAAATGGCTAAAATTTAGCAGATTGGCCATACCACGTGTTGGCAAAGAAGTAGAGCACCTGGGGCTCTAAAACAGCCAGCAGCAATGTAGAATGGTACAAAAGCTTAGAAAACAGTTTGGCAGCTTCATAAAAAGTTAAACACACAACGATCATAAAACTCAACCATTGTACTCTTAGAAACTGATCCTAAAGAAATGAATGTGTATTGCCCAACCAAAAACATAATTCACAAATGCTTATAGTGGCTTTCTTTTAATAGTCCAAACTTGGAAACTATCCAAATTTCTTGTCAATAGTCAAATGGGCAAATAAATCATGGTTTATCCGTACCATGGAGTACATTCAGCAATAAGGAACGACCCACTGACTCACACAGCACCATAGATGAACACCAAAATACTCCTTGTGAGTGAAAGGCGAGCCATGCTGCATCATTCCACTCCAAGAACGTCTAGAAAACACACAGCTAATCTAGAGGGAAAGAAAGCAGAGCAGTGTTGGCGTGGGGCTGGAAGGCAGGATTTGAAAGTGGCAGGAGGAAGGGAGATGGCCCAGCAAGCGGCCTGGGGGTGGGGGAGGAATAGTGTGTATGTTGGTTATCATGTTACCATGACTAGCAATAGTTTCAGGACTGTATGCTATGTCAAAACTCATCAGGTTGTGCAATTTAAACGCGTGCAGCTTGTCTGTCAGCTAGCCCTTAACAAAAGTGCATGGACATAATAGCAGTTCCGTTCAAAAAGCATCTACTTGCTAGGGGGAAACACTACTAAGCATCTCTCAGTCCTCACTCAAAGTAAGCATTATTCAGCCTGCTGCACAGATGAGGAATCTGGGTCAGACATCATCAGAGCCAGAACTCTTTTCTCTGTACCGTGATGCTCCACCAACGGCAAATCCCCAGAGACAGCTCTCAGGCCTAAGCAAGACCTCTGACAAGGATCTGACAGGAGCCGGGTGAGGGGCAGCAGCTGCAGGTGTCTGGAGCACAGAGACGCCCGTCCATCCCCTTCCAGTCACCAGCATGCCAAACTCTTCCGCAGCCAAGCCCAGCTCGTCACTGGCACTGCGGCCGATGGGCCACGGCTGGAAGTAGCTGTGCCGGCTACAAGAACAGCCTTCCCTCCACAGCCGCAGAGTGATGGCCTCTGAGCAGCCCATCGGCAGAACACGTTCCAGTTCCAACACCAGGCCCTTCTCCTTTCTGGCCCTCCACTTCCTCAGAGGAAGGACACAAAGGCCAACCCACAGCGCTAGCCACAGCCTTCCTAGGAACTCGGCCAGCGCGCATGCGCCTCTGAGCGCCCTGTGGAACCGAGCCTTCCCTGCTCCTGAATCTGGACAGGTGCCGCTGCCAAAAGGAATTCGCGATCGCCTATGAAAGTACACCCAGGCCCCCGTGAGCCCCAGCTCCAGAGCCGAGCGCCCACCCGCACTTACAGCGATGGCTGCCCTCGCTCCTTGTGCCACTCGGCCCCTCCCCTCAGCAAGGGTCTTCCAGAGACCGTGACGCCCACCACCCCAGGCCATCTGCCGCTCTGTTCGCCACCTGGTGGACTGAGCACCTGAAACTCGGCATCCAGGGATCTGCAGAGAACCCTGAGACAGACAACCACGGAGCCACAATTTCTCGCTTTTGTGTTCTGGAAGGAAAAGCTCGAGATGAGGGGGTCACAGGATGAATGGGACAGAGAGCAGCGTACACAGTCCTCCTTTTGCTCCTGTCGAGAGACAAGGCTGGACCAGAGTTTCTTGTCCCAGCAGCCCGAGCTATTTGGCTGGGCACACAGTAGGCTTTCAGTAAATACCCCTGGAACTAAAGCACATCCCTCGTGTAGGAGGAATAATCTCTTCTCCAGCCACGGAGGAAATCCTGGGAACGGAGCCCAGGGCTGAGAAGCCCCCCCTGCTTGTAACCACCTGGAGCCCGGGGGGCCCAGGGGCACCACGCCCCCGGAGAACAGGAGGACTGCGTGTGGGACTCCACAGGCGCTCTCTGGCTCCCGCGTTATCTTCCACTCCAAGGAGGAGCCCTTGGGATCTGGGGGGAACGGCGGCGCAGCATTCGGTAAAGCTCCGAGCACTTGGGCTGCAGCTGTGCTAGCAGTTCAGAGATGGAAAGCGGTTCCCCGAGGGGAGAGACTCTCCTACTGACACAGCTTCCGGAGCTCCCGGGTGGGCGAGCACTTGCTGCAAGGAGCAGTCACCAGCTTGGAGAAGCCTTGGAGGTCCCGGGCAGGCTTCGCCTACGTTTCTGTTGTTTGTGAGCTCCTGGGCAAGTCTCCTTAGCTCTCTGAGACTCAGTTTCCATATCTGAGACACGGGTGTAGATCGTTTAAAAATGAAGGCCGGCGCCGCGGCTCAATAGGCTAATCCTCCACCTTGCGGTGCCTGCACACCAGGTTCTAGTCCCGGTCGGGGCGCCGGATTCTGTCCCGGTTGCCCCTCTTCCAGGCCAGCTCTCTGCTATGGCCCGGGAAGGCAGTGGAGGATGGCCCAAGTGCTTGGGCCCTGCACCCCATGGGAGACCAGGAGAAGCACCTGGCTCCTGCCTTTGGATCAGCGCGGTGCACCGGCCACAGCGCGCCAGCCGTGGCGGCCATTGGAGGGTGAACCAATGGCAAAAGGAAGACCTTTCTCTCTGTCTCTCTCTCACTATCCACTCTGCCTGTCAAAAAAAAATGAGGTGAGGCAGAGCACAGAACACAGCGCCTGCAACCATAAGGCACTCAGCTGACACCTTCCTCTCCTTCCCTTCCCAGCAAGTCCAAGGGCACCTCAACCAGTTTCTGGGGGGAAATGCAATGAAAGATTATTTTGATACCAAAAAAAAAAACCCTGAAATTCATGCATAGCTTTTTTTTTATAATACACACTGCCCATGACCATGGACATGATCCACCTTGAGCTTAGGGATAAGGTCTCCTTAGCTGATTTTGCTGATGAGGAAGGGGCCTTACTTCCTCCCAGCCAGAGGAGCATCCTATAAAATGTGCTGGGGCCAGAGCAGCAAATACAGGGGCTGGGAGGTGCAGCAGGGCCCGGGCAGCAGGTACAGGAAGCGACCTGAGGAATCCGGAGGTCCCAGGTAACCTTGCCAACTCCGTGCAAGAGCTCAGGGATCAAGAGCTCAGGGATCAGGCGGCACCCTGAGCGGCACCCCACCCCCACCAGGGGCTGGGTCCTCCCCAGGGGCGCATACCTTCACCTCCAGTGTTGACAGTCACCGGCTCTGTGACCTTTACATGAGGGTGGGGGACCAGATGGCCTCGGAGTTCTGTCCCTCCCCTTTAACTTTCTGAGCTTACAAGTCTTCAAAGAGAAACTGGCACTGACCCGACGCCCCCTCCTCTCTCCACCCCTCCTCCAGGATTTAGGAAGGCCGCTTGGAAAGGGAACCAGGAAATCAGAGGCTGGGGCTCCATTCTGCTAATTTAATTAGCTCTAATCTGCGGCAACAGCAGGGACTGGAAGAAAGAGGCTTTGTTGAAATTTCACATTTGGCAGGAAGTTCATCGCCCCCCCCCCACCCCCACCCCTCCTGGAGATTATGAGTCAAAAGCTCTGATTTCAGTCCTGGCTCTCACATTCAGTCTTGCTGAGGCTTCCCTTTTACACTTCTCTGACCAACTGCTTGACTTGTCCAGGAAGGAAACATGCCCCAGATGTCGGTCAGTAAATGGAGGTTTTCATCTGCCTCCATGAAAGGGTGTCAGTCAGACAGTCACAGGCTTCTCTCCATCAATGCAAAGCAGTTTCATTGTCACCATCTTAGGGGGCCCTGGCAGCTGTCTCAGGAGATAATCAGGACAGAAATCTCGCTCTCATCTATTCAGACAAGTCACACTGATGGAGCACCCCTCGTTCACAGACGAGGAGCCAACGGTGCACAGGTGACATGGCTTGCCCACAGGCCTCACGCCGGGTGCAGTAAAGTGTAGACACTGCACCCAGAGATGTGTTGGCATCATCTGAATCTCCACAACACAAAACCCAATTTCAAGCATTCGCCCACTTCGGCGGCATGCATTTTCCCACCACGCTCCATGGCAAGCCACCAGCAGTTTTGAAACAATTTTCAACAAGCAATTTGCAAAATTCCTGGATATTGAACATCCAGTGCTAGAGAGCTTCCACACTGGAGCAACTTCTCCTGGCTCCCAGCTCAGTGTTCTTTCTGCCCCACCTCTGTGCTGCCATGCAGGGGGAATCAGCATCGTGTGGCAGATTAAAGAGTAACCGTAAGAGAAAAGTACCTGAAGGGTTGCCAATATAGGTAGGATTTCAGACACGTTTTCTTTGCTTCCACATCAATATTCTTCCAAAAAATCCTAGGAGCACGTTTTACCTTTATAATCGGAACACACCTAGGTAATAAAACTCATTTTTAATAGGCTTACTGGAATGTTTTGCAATAACCTTCCTGCCTAATTTCTATCCCTCTGCCCTCCTTGAGTTGGAGAACATGTGTTTCCTAGGAGTTTAATTTCCCTGACAGAACACAGCAGGTGCACTGAAGTTAAGCATTCACCTGAATCTGCTGCAGTCTTACCTGGGTGATAAATTCATTCCCTTGAAGTTCAAATTTCACCAGCAACTGAGAAAATACAACTCCGTATCAAGATTCCAAAAAACCTGCTCTGACAAATCTTTGGCCACAGAATGACCTTGCCTTCCAGCGGGCTGAGGTCAAAGCAGGTGGTTTGACGGATCCAGAAACAACTGCTTTTTCTTTCCTGAGCTCTAGAAGTGGGAAAAGACTGCCCCCCGCCCCTGATAGTCCTCGTGGTCCTCTCTTTGCCTGAGCTGGCGTCCAAGGGCTCTTACCTCAGTGCTGGGATGGAGACCTGGCACCAGGGCTGGGGACAGGCTCCCAGGGGCCACTTCGTTTCAGCTGGGCTGCATGACATCCACTGCTTCTCTCCAGGCTGCTTGCTGCAGAGCTCTGCACAATTGGCTCTACCCCTGCCTGCAGGGAGACAAACAAAGCAAAGTTGCAGGCTGAGCACCAGAAGCACCGCGGGCACCCTCGCTCCTCCCCCTGCCGAGCCCTGGTGACTCCTGCCACTTCACAGCCCCTTTCCAAACCACTGCCCACTCCTCCTCCCAAGGAGCCAGGCTCCTTCCCAGGGCCCAAGCTGGCCATCTGTTCACCCGAACCCACCCTTTCTGGGGCTGCCCAGTTTCAGAGTGAGTTGCAGATGAAGCAAAGCAAACTCCTACAGTCGTTAAATCCTGGTGCTGCTCACTACTGGTGGTAAGAAAAGCAAGGGGAAGAAAGCTACAGAGCCAGCCCACGTCCTGTGTTCAGATAAGGCTCGCGCTCCACAAAGATCTCAGACCTGCTCCCAGCCACCCTTTGATCTATATAATATGTCATTTCTGCTCTTCCAGACGTGAATGCAATTTCTAAATCGTTTTGGAAGCCAACACGTTCAACCCATATATTATTATAGCTAGCTGGGTGGAGAGCATTTGGTTTTAAGGTAATTGTTGTTTTTCCTTGTGCCCAGGAAATTTATGTCCAATCTACAAATTTCAGAATAAAATTAAGTGAAAAGAGGGGGAAAAGTTACCCATTGGTTCTCCACTCAGATAACAAACTCTTGCTGTTTTTTGACTTTGTTTTGCGTTTAGTGTTGTTGTTATACAGATTTTTTTGTATGCAGACCTGATCCAGCCAGGCAGGGTCTGGTGCCATGTCATTAAGTCTTTTTCTGCACCATTATTTTAGCATCTTCATAGCATGCATACACTCGTGGATCTCCCGTACCCTACACAGCCATAGCAAATGTTGCACCCAACTCCCAAAAGCTGGACACTTGCATCATGTTAATTTTTTTTGCTTGTTATTAACAAACAGTATTTAAACTAAATCTTCAGGGAAGTTCATGACTGCTTCTGCGGTGGTTTGAGTCTTGACTCCCAATGTTTCACATGCCAGAACTTGGTCCCCAGTGTGCTGCCACAGAGACGGTGGGGCCTCTAAGAAGTACAGCCTAGAGGAAGATGACGAGGTCTTTACAAGTGCTGCCTTGGAAGGGATTAATGTCTCTGTTCCTGGATGCTGGTTAGTTCCCATGAGAGTGAACAGTTAGAAAAAGAACGAGCCTGGCCTCTTGTCCCCAGCTGCTGTCTCCCTCTCTCACACACTCCCACTGTGGTACCAGCTCCCATGCTGTTACATAGCCAGAAGACCCTCGCCAGAGGCAAAGCCAGGAGGATGCACAACCTTGGATTTCCAGCCCCTAAAGCCACGAGCAATATAGCAGCAAAAAGTGCACTAAGACCACTTCCTTAAGACACATTCTTGGAAATCAGCTTTTCTGGGTCAAAGAGTTTCCCTGTGCCTCAGGTTTTGCCAGTCCTGGTGTGCTACCTCTAGACTACTATACCCTCGAAACCCCTCGCAGTAAGGAAGAGGTGCACTGATTCCTCCAGCACTCCTCTTCTGTCCGTGTCCTCACTCACCAACCATCATCCCTAGTGGAAATGAATGTGGAGTTCCAGGAGGCTGACTTTGTCTTTCTCACTCACACTCAGCTCAAGCCAAATCTAAGAACAGATCTGTGATGCTGCAATGAGCGCCCCTAATAAGGACCAGGGGAAGGAGGTCTAGAATAAGAGTTGGTCCCCAGGAGACAATTCAGCAACCCACTGAGGGAGGGAGGGAGGGGTGGACACACTGGGACAGTATCCAGGGGACAGAGACCTTAGAGACGACGGGAGCCATCGCTTGAGAGGACGGATGTAGAGAGGAGCTCCCGTCAGCTAAACCTCAGCTGACGTGAGCCGTCTGAGGGGTGCAAATGTCAAGGCTTCACAGAGATCTGGGCCGAACAGGGCAAACAACAAAGGCATCAGGTGAGCCAGGGAGGGAAAAAAAAAACAAAAAACAAAACCGTTGCCTCAAGGTCTTGTGCACCTTGCTGCTGTCTATAATTACTGCCGACAAAACACCAGGAGCCAACAGCCCCGCGGGCAAAGGAGAGCAGGCAGGGAGGTGATCGCGCACACAAACAGTGGAGCAAGCGGCCAGGGAGGGCTGCCAGCGGGGAGCCTCCCTTGGGAACAGAGACAAAGGGCTCCTGCGGTGGTGGTGGGGAACCACCTCTCCTCAACAAGAAGAAAGACCCCTGCTCCACCCCTGCCCAGCCACCTTCTCCTCTCCCTGCTCTTACTCCAGCCAGACCTTCCGTGAGAGGTGGATACTTCACCAAGTGCTCTGTCTAAACACTACAGGTGTCTGTGGCCATGAGACCCGGAAAAGGCCTTGGAGGCGGACCCAAGCCACATGCCCTTCCTAGCAGAGCGGCCTCCGTGGCCTGCTGCCCCATGTACCCTACACTCCAGCCACAGCAACTCGCAGACTTGAGAGGGAACGTGGGGCTCCGGTCATGCTTCTTAGGTCCTTTGGAAGATGGCCTGCACACCTCCACTTGCCAACCCTACCCCGCCCTGCCCTGCCCCACCTGCCACTGGGCCTCCCCTGACAGACAAGTGTGGAACTTGGACTTGAGGAGGATTCATCCAGAAATAAGGGTGCTGAACCAATCTGGTACTTGGTCAAAACTGCAACTAGGAAAAAAAGACTAGAGTCAGCTGGAGCTAGAGCACGGGCGGCAGTGATACCTTGACAAGCAAACGCCCCCACAGATCAAGGCATGGGGCCGCAGGGGTCCTGTGGGAAGGGAGAAAACTGGCCCCAGAGAGCGGCAGCCAGGCACCACGCAGCCCCGATGATGACGCTGGCAGCTGCGAGGCTCGTCTGTACTCTCACTCCAGCACGAATCCCTTGAATCCTTTCAGTAAGCCCCCTCGTGGGTGGAATTTAGGTCAATCCCTGTTCATTGCAACACATTCTCTTGACTAAATCAATCTCCTGCAGGCCTGTGGCTGCTGCAATCTGGGGTTAGGAAATCAGGGGGGTGAGAGCAGAATTTCTCTCCAGTTCTGTTGAACAAGGCAAATATATGCAAACTAAGGGCCCCACCCAAGAGGCTGGCTCTGAGGACAGGAGCTGCCAATAAACCAGCCAAGAGCCAGGTCGGAAAAGACTAAGACAGACCGTGGTTTCTTGATCTTGGATGAGAGCTTGGTTTCAAACCAACTCTGGGTCCCAGCTGGCTAGCGACGTCTAAGCGGGTTATGAATAAGACAGAGGGGCTCTCCTAGGATCCAGTTCATGGCCCTGGGGCTGCTCAAAAGCCTTCTTAAAAAAAGAAAAGGGTGTGTGGGGAAAGGTTTGTGGCACAGCTGGTTAAGCAGCTGCTCGGGACTGCCGCTTCCCACATGGGAGTGCCAGGGACCAAGTTCCACCTCTGCTTCCAATCTGGTGTCCTGCTGATGTACACTTTGGAGGCAGCAGATAGTGGCTCAAACACTTGGCTCCCTGCCACCCACACAGGAGACCTGGATGGAGTTCCAGAATCTGGGCTTCAGCCTGGCCCCAACCCCAGCTCTTGTGGGCATTTGGGGAGTGAACCAGTGAATGGAAGATGTTGGTATTATGTGCTCACTCACTCTCTCTCTCTCTCTCTCTCTGCCACTTTGCCTTTCAAATAAATAAAAATAACTTTTTCTCCCTAATGTCTTTCATAAACAAAGATTTAGCTACTTATTTGAAAGGAACAGTGACACAGAGAGAGGGAGAATCAGAGAGGGAGAACTTCCATTTGCTGATTCACTCCCCAAATGACCGCAGCAGCCAGGATTGAGCTAGGCTAAAGCCAGGAGCCTAGAACTCCATCAGGGTTTCCCATGTGGGTGGCAGGGGCCCAAGTACTTGGTGCCATCTTCCACCATTTTCCCAAGTGCATTAGCAAGTTGCTGGATCGGAAGCGGAACAGCCAGGGCTTCAACTGGCACCCATATGGGATGCTGACATAGCACATGGAGGATTAACCTGCTGAGCTACAGCACCAGCCCAGTTAAAAAAAAAAGTTTAAAAAAAAAAAAAGATAACAAAAAATTATGGTTTGGTTTTTGGATGGATAAAGCAGCTACTGGATAAAGCAGCTACTGGATGGGACCATCCTGGATTGCTATTAAGAGCACTTCAGGGGCCAGCGCTGTAGCATAGTGGGTAAAGCTACCACCTGCAGTGCCAGCATCCCATATGGGCAGCAGTTCCAGTCCCGGATGCGGAAGTTAAGCTCCTGCTTGCACGCCTGCATTCCAGATCAGAGTGGCCGGGTTCAAGTCCTGGCTTTGCTTCTGATTTTATCTTTCTACTAATGTACACACCCTGGGAAGCAACAGGTGATGGCTGAAGTGCTTGGGCCCCTGCCACTCATGTAGGAAACAGAGACTGAGTTCCTGGCTCCTGGCTTTGGCCTGGCCCAACCCGGCTGTTGCAAGCATTTGGGGAGCAAAACAGCAGATGGAAGATTTCTCTCTCTCTCTCTCTCTCTTTCAAAAAAGTTAAATAGGGGCTGGCACTGTGGCATAGTGGGTAAAGCCACCTTCTACAGTGCCGGCATCTCATATGGGCACCGGTTTAAGTCCCAGCCGCTCCACTTCCAATCCAGCTCTCTGCTATGGCCTGGGAAAGCAGTAGATGATGACCCAACTCTTTGGGCCCCTGTACCCGCATTAGAGACCTGGAAGAAGCCCAGTTCCGGCCATTGCAGCCATTTGGGAAGTAAACCAGCAGATGTAAGACCTCTCTCTCTGCCTCTCTATAACTCTGCCTTTCAAATAAATAAATAAATCTTTTTTAAAAAACTATTTTTTAAAAAAAGCAAGAAAAACATAAGCAAAAGATGTTTATTTGGGTGCAAAAAATTTCCAAAGTTACACAGTTTTTTCACAATACACATTTTCCACTTTTGAAGACTACATGTAAAGTGTATCTCCGTAATTTTTCTATTCTGAAGATGTATTTATCACGTAGATTACGCAAACTCCAAAGATTCCCTTACTGGGAGCTACGCACTCAGCTGATGACGCAGTCCCTTTGCCTGCTTC